TTCGCATCCATTCAACGATTCTTGGCGGGCGGGTCGATCCTTGTCGACGGGCTTCCGCGCCTCCGCGAACCGCTGTCGCGTTCGACCCCCGGTCGCCGGGTCAATCGCGACCCCTCTCGACGACGAGATCCTTTGCCGCGAACTTTCTTTCTATCGTGCGAATGGGTTAAGATCGCAAAGGAAGTCGCAGTTTCCTCGTTGCGAAGAACAAGGAGTTTTATTGTTTATTAACGCGCGTGTTGTTTTTTTAACTTGTAATTTATCGTTAAGATAGTTTTGAGTTGACGCGTTCTCGATCAGCGTGCGCAGCTATATTTATTGCATTTGTCGTATTAAACGCACCGTATTCGCTTATAAAATATGATAAATATGTCGTCAAAGAGAAGCTATATATATATATATATGTATATTCTTTAAATATCATGCTATGTGTTACAATTTTCAATAATTATATTCACGGAATCCATTCGACGGTCTTCGCGCGAAATACAAAATCGTTGGATTATGTTAATTCCACGGTAACTTTATAAATTATCGTTTTAATATTTATAACGACAAACATTAATTTTTTCAACATTAATTCAGAAATCTTCCGACGTAATTTACGCTGTGCACTCTCGGTAATCTGAGGGTTAATTAGCTCCGTTGAATTAATAAATGATAATCATGAATACGGTCCACGACAATTTTCATTGGAACGGTAACGCGAATATAATATTTGTTATAACTTATAAATGAGTGAATCGTGAGGAACATAAGTTACGTGAAAATACGTCGTTCCTCTTTTAATAATCGTAATAAGATGAAAAATAATGCCTTTGATGCCTTCCAATGCCGTTTCAGTTTTCTATTCGAGGTACAGTAAATTGTCTCTCCAATTGTCCATTTCTGTTCACGAACGGAGGGACAATTGGAGAAACAAGTTACTGTACGTAATATTATATGTATGTAGTCCTTGCATCGTGCAATTAGTGAAGGCAATTTTTATTTTGCATGAATATTGAAAAATTGGAAAGATTAAAAACATTTAATAATATGTATTATATAAATATTATATATAATAATATATAAACATATTTTATATTATGCAATATAAATTACTTTCGACCTACTAAAATTATTAACACTAGAACTACCGAACTAGTCAAAATAACTGGTTCCTAACCTTTTCTTTTACAATTCCCAATATTAGGAAAATGTTCCTATGAACAATTTTCAGCTAGACATATTTATTATTATTATTATTACATATATAAAGTTTAAGCAAATCCAATCTTGCCACTGTTATCAAACAGTATACAGAAGTCGCGTTTAAGGTTCGCATAAGGCTCGAATGATCTCATCCCCTCTCCCCAAATTGTCCTCCTCTGATAAACAAACTGACGAACAATTCAAGAGGATCTACTATACTTACAAGATAAAAATTGTCATTTCTCCAGTGGACGAGTCTACTCGTCGTTCGCGACTCCAACAGTCTCGCCGAAGAAATTAAGGGTTGTTTCGTAAGGGTTGCTCGACACAACGAATTCCAACGAAACGCGGACGCAACTTCCAGAGACAGTTCTTTCGAGAAAACCAACCCGCGTAGAAGTATTTGTAGAGAGCAAAGATAGCGCAACACTTTCGCTCTCTCCTCTCGGGAGAGAGCATCATCCCCGATAGCCTCGGCGACCTTCGAGGAAGTTCGAAGAACAAGCTGCAACGTTCGCTTCTGCACGGCGGAGGCCAAGAGTCGCTCATAAAACAGTGATTCCGTTGAAAATACGTGGACGCTGACAGCCGGTTGGCTGTGTGGCGAATCGAAAGCGATTCTAGTGGCTCGTAACTCGGCCGAAATGATCGCGATACACGGTGCACGCCTCTCGGTATGCGACCAAGCTCATCGGTGCTCATGATTAGCCGAAAGACTATGCTCGTGGATCGACGGATCGGGGGCTCAGGGGGGAGCAGGAGAGGCAGGAGAGCCAGGCGGAGAGAGGCGTCCAAGCGAGAACGCGTCTGCCGGTTCGATGGGGAGGGCGAGCAGGGGGTAGGTAATAGAGAGAACAATCATAATTGGCGCGTGCTTATAGGGAGCACAATCAATTAAATGGGGTGCACGCGGGCTTATGCGCTCTAACGACGCTGCGGCTGATTACGATTCTCCGCCGGTTTTCTCGCTGCCCTATTTCTCTCTCCCCCCCTCTCCCTCTCGCTCTCTTGCACTCGGCTCTCTCTCGCGCGCGCTCTCTGTCTCGCTCTTTCTCACTCTCTCCCCCGCGCTGACTAGCACTCTTGCACCCTCTCTCTCTCTTTCTCTCTCTCTAGCACTTGCGCTCTCTCTCTAGCACTCGCGCTCTCTCTCTAGCACTCTCGCTCTCTCTCTAGCACTCGCGCTCTCTCTCTAGCACTCTCGCTCTCTCTCTAGCACTCGCGCTCTCTCTCGCTCTCTAGCACTCTTGCTCTCTCTCTCGCTCTCTAGCACTCGCGCCCTCAGCACTCGCGCCCTCAGCACTCGCACCCTCAGCACTCGCGCCTTCAGCACTCGCTCTCTCAGCGCTCGCGCTCTCTCTCGCCCTCTCTCTCTCTCTCACTGCCTCGGCTCTCTCTCTCTATCTATTTCTTTTTTACTCCCTCGATTCTTTCTCACGTGCATACACTTTCGATTTTTCCCTTTGTCTCTCTCACTCCCTCAGTTCTCTTTCTCTCTCTCTCGCTCTTTAATTCCCTCGGTTCTCTCTCACTCTCTCTCTTTAACTCCCTCGGTTCTCTTTCCCTCCTACCCTCCACCGGTTTTCGCTTTTCTAATTAAATAACTGTACGCGCCCTCTCCGACCCCGCACGAAAAGAAATCCCCGCGTCGCAGCGCCCCGACCAAGATATTGAAATCCGATCGGGCGAACCTGTCGCGACCGACGCGGTCAATACCGCGAGACGAAACGCTTTCTTCGACGATTCGACGACCGCCGCCGCGCGTTGCTTGTCAATCATGCATGCCTGACACGATTCCCTGTCCGCGGCTAAACGCTCGTGTCTCTTCCTGGCGACAGATAATAGGCTTTTCGATGCGAGAATTTCATACATTATATCCACGACGTCCGCTCCGTCGGGGCCCAGAGTCCTGCGGGTACAATTTTAGGGCAGCTTCGTTCTAATATCACGGACACCGCCGCCAGTGACCCTCTAATAAGGGACGCAGAATAAGGGGTGAAAAGCCAGGTGGTCGGACGTCAGTTTTCACCACGTGAAAAGCACTCTCTATGCACGCGTGGTAAACACGAGCATGTAAATGCATTTGTGGGAAAAATGTATAGCTAAAGCGTAGAACAGTGATCGAATTGAACGCATTGCCGTTCTTTAATTAGTCAAGATTGGGGAATTCTGAGGAAATTTTAATTTGTGGGAGCTGTTAGAGATATGAATGTTATTCCGTTTCTTTATGTCGGAGACGAATACCATTCTTCTTGTCGCTAATATTATAATATTGTAATATTATTAAATTATATTAAATATAATATAATAATATATAATATATAATATAATATATATATATATATATATATATATATAATATAATATGATATTATAATATTAATAAATTATATTAAATATAATATAAACATGATATATACAATATAAGCATATAAACTTTAATGAGTCAAGATTAGGAAATTCTTAGGAAATTTGAATCTGTGAAAGCTGTTAGACATATGAATGTTTTAAATTATATTAAATATAATATAAACATTCCTGCGGATGTAAATACACGATAATTATGAAGTTTCTTCTTCTAAGAAGTTGAAGCGATCGGAAAAGTTCTGATCGTTGTAATTGGAACAGAAAAGAAAATGGTACGGCTAGGGGTTGAAAGAAAGTAAAAATGTCGACACGTTGATTGCAGCTTGCTAAAATGGCGGAACTGCGTTTCCGCGTTCAGTTAACGCCTTCGAAACGGCGTAGAATTACGTCGCCTATAACGAAAGCGTCGAAGACCCGGCGCAACGATTTCAGGAGAACACGGCGAACAATTTGAAAAACCGCTCGTGGAGCGAAATTGGATGAAGCATTTGACGATCGGAGGAGGTTAAAGGAACCCGTTCCGAAAGGGTTCAAAAACACGGCGCCGAAAGTTCGGCCGGTCTCGGTCGCGCCGTAAACGCGCGGCGAAACAAGGGTGAGAGAAATAAGCCGGCGTAAAGTTCCGCGGCAATCTCTCGTCCAAGGACGAAACGCCGCGGCGTAACAAGGTCTCGGCGGCCGTTCCGTCGAGCACACGGCGATAATTCAGCGAAAATTCTCGGCGAAAAAAAGGAAGGAAGGAAAAGAGACAGAGAAGCGAAAGGGAAGAGGAAGAAGAAACGAAGAGAGAGAGAGGGGGGGATAGAGACAGAGTTACAGAGAGAGCGAGTGCTACAGAGCGAGAGAGAGAGCGCGAGTGCTGAGAGCGCGTGTACTAGAGAGTGCGTGTACTAGAGAGTGCGTGTACTAGAGAGTGCGTGAACTAGAGAGTGCGATAGAGAGCGCGAGTGTTAGAGAGTGCGAGAGCTAGAGAGCGCGAGAGCAAGAGAGCGCGAGTGCTGAGAGTGCAAGAGAGTGCGCGAGTGTTAGAGAGCGCGAGTGCTGAGAGCGCGAGTGCTAGAGAGTGCAAGAGAGAGCGCGAGTGTTAGAGAGCGCGACTGCTAGAGAGCGCGAGTGCTAGAGAGCGCGCGCGAGAGAGAGAGCAAGAGTGCTAGAGAGCGAGAGAGAGAGGGGGAAGGGCGAGGCAGGCGTCTGGCGAAAAGTCTGCCCTCGGAAGCGAGCCGGAGAAATTCTGGGCGAAGCGACACCGCCGTTCGTACTCCCGAGGGGTAACAACAAACCCGACACGTATTCCCGATCGAATTAATGGTCGCGTAAACGACTCGATATTGGGAGCATTAATTCGGCGAACGAGCCATTAATATTCGAAACGACTTTCCGCGTGCCGACGAACAAGTTCGCGAACCGGGCGGCCGCCGGCTTCGAAACCTGTCGAAAATTACCTGTTGCTGGTCGACGAGCGAAGATATTTCCCGCTGCTGCTGCTCCATTCCCTGGAAAAGAAAAGAACGGCCGATCAGTTGACGAACGACGACGTCGTCGCGGCGATAAACGGGAATCTCGCGCGCGCGCGCGCGTGCGATAGACGACGACGTCCAACCACGGGCTAAATATTCTACGCCGATATAAACGTTGATCGGCGAAAAATATTTGATCGATCGATCGGCTCCCGGCGAACAATGAACTTGGACGTGTGTTTTTTTTTCTTCTCTCGCGTTCATTTTTTTTTTTTGTTTTCGCCCGTTAGGAAAAGTTGCGTAATGGATGCCCGAGCTTTCATACGAACGGGGTCAACGGATGCGACTGGAGAGAAATGATAAAGCAACAATCGCGGAACAATAAACCGCGTCTTTTTTATTCTCCTGCGTTTCGCCTCCGCGCGCGGACCGCCCCGCGAATATTGCGGCCGATCAAATATTTAGCCGCGAGAACGTACATATTAATGAAAGTGTCTATATTAATTGCGGACTTTTCCGCGAATCTCTGTTCTCATTCCCTTTCAGTTCTTCTTCTTCTTCTTCTTCGACCGTGAACGGAGAAAAGATTGATGCGCCGCGAGCAGCAACCGTGATGTTTGCCGAACAACCAATCGGAGAGAGAACGGGCGCTGCTTCTACGCGCTGGTAGAAATGTTTTAATTGGTCCGCGGATGTTATTATGACACGAATCGGCGCGTAGAATATAGTAGGATATATATATGTGTATAATGAATTTCTATCGAGCCGCGCGCGCGCGTGGCTTCGGAGAATGTTTATGTTTGCACGAAGATCCGCGGTCTAATTGGTATCATTGTTCGTTAACCCTTTGGACGATGAGCCCGAGGTCTTGGCGGATTATTGTTGAACGATGAACCTACCAGCGCCGGTCGTACGACCGGTTTTGCGCCTCTTATTTTACGGTTATTGAAATTACACGGTTTTTCTATGGGAGAGGAGGATCTTATTAATTTCTTCGATCGAGCGCAACTTGCGATCGAGCTCGCGGAAAATCGAAATGTATTGTTGTCGTGAGTGCTTGGTGAGACAAGGATTAATGATTAAAGTTTTATTAAATATATTAGTAAAAAATATATATGTAATATTATATTATAATTATATTATACTATATTATATATTATTTTATATTATATTATATTATATTACATTACATTATATTACATTATAAATATAGTATATAATATAATAATATATTAATATTGAAATATTGATAAAATATCCAATCAGATAAAAACGTATCCGAATCAGATTTATTTCGAATAAGAATTTATTCGTACAGGAATTCGTACGGAAAATAATCGATTTGTATAAATATACGAAAACGTTCTTTTCATCGTTTCATTTCTTCCATATTACTGAACCACGGCTTGAGTAGATGAAATTCGATTGATTCTGAATGTATTCGCATAAATATATTCTTAGAAAATTACGTGAAAACAGTGAAGCAGCGACAGCAATCTGAAAGAGTAGTTCATTTTCTCGAAGTCGCCTTAGCTTGTCTCAAACTTGTTCTAAATCGTTAATAGCTTCAGTTCTTAATTAGTTCTATTTATCCTGCGTTTGTGTCTATTTAATCAATGTACAGTGCTTCGCAAAAAAATTAAATATAATTTTAGGGCTCGTGCGGCGTTGGATAGAAGCAGAAATAAAACTTTCCATGCCTCTGTCGTATAAGATCGTGAATCGATTGCATCGAGAACGACGTTGCAGCGAGGTGAAATAAGTCGAACGAGATTATTATTAAAATTAGCGAAGCTGGAAGTGCGAACAACGGTGTTGTTAATGTGGTGGAAGGCAGCATATGTTCGCGATAAGCTGACACGAATCGAGACGACGAAATGAACGGAAACGAGAGAAGAGTCGGGAGAGCATTTCGCGTTGTAAATTCTGACGAATTACGCAGAGGACGAACAGAAGGAGGCGATAAAAACCGACATCGAATATATTTATTGTGCTGCAGCATTTTCGAAGTCCGCTTTGAAGTTAGCTTTCACCGGGTTATACAGAAATGTAATATTTATACCTTGACTGCTGATCGGAGAACTTCAAACATTTCGTGATGCTAAGGCATGTTACCGAAACAAATTAAAATTCAAACAAAATATAAGATATGTCATGTACCGGTTGCTTTCTCAACATTCTTGCGTTTTGCGAATCATAATCTATAGTCGAATATGTAATATATTATAGTAATATATTATATTATAATAATTATATGTATTAATATATATAATATAATATTATATATAATAATAATATTATATATAATATAATATAATATAATATAATATAATATAATATAATATAATATAATATAATATTATAATATATATATATTAATACATATAATTATTATAATATATATATTAATACATATAATTATTATAATATAATATATTAGTACAATATATTACATATATTCGACATAAACTACTTAACTAACTATAGTTATAATATATTATATATTATAATATACAATATAATATAATATAACTATAGACAGTTAAGTAGTTTATTTTTATCTAGGTGATCAAGATTTTCGATACACATCTTCCTCCATAGAATACATAGTATACAAATTTGCAATTCTGAACAAATAAATTGCGAATCGATTACACAGAGTGCACCGATTAAGTTCGATGCACTTTCTCGCATTATTGCCATCTTTCAAGAATTTCAACGTAGCTGTGAAAAATATCAAAATGTCCGAGTTACCGTTCAATTCTGACAACATTCGCAACATCGTACAATATCGATCGGTATTTCGTAAAAAATCGACAAGTAGGCTTAGCGTCCGAGAATAAACTCCTTAAAGAATAAATTTCGTAGGATTAGGGTGTGAATTATCGCGGATTTAATTACACCGTTCTCACCGGTTTCGCGCGAACGTTGCCGCGTTCGCTGCATAGTTGTATTTATTATATTTATCGTATTAAACACAGCGCGGCCACTCGTAAAATACGATAAAAATGTGCTCAAAGAGAAGCTATAAATTCTCGAAATTACGTGTTACAATTTTAAATAACGATATCCGGAAAATTCATTCGACGTTCTTCGCGTGCGATGCAAAATGGCGGTCGTCGCACCGCTGTGCTAGAGATGTTAAAGATGAAACGAACGGTGTTAAAGATGCGAGCAAAGAAGGCGTACATACGTAAATGTACTAATTCGGGTTTTGTTTGTTTACAGGTCGTACCCGTCGCCCGTGCAAAACGGAGGGCCAAATGGGACGACGATGAGTTGCGGAGGTTCCCAAGGTAAGCCTCTCGATCAGGAAACAAGAGACACGCCGCTAATCGACTCGCAGCGATTCAATAGGGGATATATCTCGATCGGCCGGCACTCGACGGGGCCGAAACCGGGGCGAGATCGGGGTGCGAGATCGGGGCGAAACCGAGCACAGGGCCGCCGGCCGGGGCACGCGAGCAAGTTTTATATTTCTCCGCGGGCGGCGGAATGGAATTTCGCAATAAAGGGAGTCCTACGCTGATTAATTAGCTCGGCGAAAAAAAAATTGGCGGGAATTTCGTTCCGCCTATTGAATTAGCGTTGCATTAAATTTATTGGCAGAATTCTCATTGAAAGATCGGGGGCTCGCACATATCGGGGCCGCGCACCGTTCGCCGCGGCCGCGATCGTGTCTGCCCTGTCCACCTGTGACTCTGTCCTGGCTGAATAATTTTCCAACTATCAAACGTCGAGGACGTATGAAAATACCGGCTACGATATTTCAGAGGAAACTTTCGGCGAAAAAATGCCCCCACCCGCGGCAATTCAATATCGCGCGATTACGCGGACAAAGGTATAACGAATCAAATATCATTTTAATTTTGTATATTGTACCTTGCAAATGCGAGCACGCGTCCCGCACCGTTCCACCCCTATCCTTCTCTCTTTCTCTCTCTCTCTCCCTCTCTCTTTCTCACTATCTATCTCCCTCCTCTCCTCTGGTTCGCCCTCCACCTCCACACAACAACCGGACGCTCGTGACTTATGCGTTTGGCATCGCGAAAAACCTGCTCGCTTATCCGGCCGCGTTCATTTTCAGATTCAAACCCGCTGTCCGCTGTTTTTCGATGGAATTTCACGCAAAAGGATTCGCCGGCAAGATAAACGGAAATTCGACGAACGATCCGATTAAATTTAACGTCCGGCCGGCGATTCCGCCGGATCGCCTCGAGCCGCGCGCGCGCCCGTTTTCCTGCGTTAATCGCGATATTTATGGCGTTCGAGTCGGTTTGACGCGGTTTCCGAGCAACTTTTATCCCTCGAAAGAAACGCCGGCAAAGGAGCACACGTCGTAACGTAACATCTCCGTGAACCGTTTTACCCGCGTTAATCGCGATTTTCATGCGATTGACTCGATTTGGATTGGTCGAGCTCGATTCATTTTAATTTTTCTTTTTTTGTCGGTTCGCATCGGTTTGGATCGATTTTGCCGCGAATATTAATTTTTTGAAGAAACCACGGGAGAAGAGCTCTATACTAACACTCTGTGAACGGGTTAACCGTGTTAAACAAGATATTTATGGCGTTTTGGTTCATTCGGATTGGTTTGACTCGATTTGCAAACAATTTTCACACTTTATTTACCGGAAGCCTATTGAGAGGCTTTTCGATGAGTGAACTGTGTCCAAGAAAAGATCGACAATGTTCTCTTAAATAATAATTTCAAAAGAACTTGAGAGAGAGATATACTTATATTTTAATTTAATTTATACTTTAATTTATATTTATTTTAAACTTATTTATTTATTTATATTTATTTATTATTATATATTATATTATTATATTATTATTATATTATTATTATATATTTATTTATTATATTACATTATTTATTTATTATTATTATTTATATTTATTTATTATTATATTATATATATTACATTATATTCATATTTATATTAATCTAAACGATTTCATGGAAGAGATAATTACAGCTTTTTATCAATTTATTAAAGAAATTCTTATCTGCCTTCCACTATGAAAGAACTATTTAAAAAACTGCCGGTAAACGAAATGTTAATTTCCGTAAAAAAATACGCGGGAAAAGAAGCTCGATGCGAAAATCTCGTTCACTTATCTCCCCGCGCGAATGGCGATACTTATGGCATTCGGGTCGGTTCGGGTCTGTTTAGCTCGATTCGGCTCGGCCTCGGTTCGTCGGTGAACTTTAATTTTCGAAAGAAACGCGAGAGGCGGGGCTCGATACGAGGCGTCTAAGCGTCTTTTTTCGAACGGAAACTCGCGCTCCGGCCCGGTGAAAGCGTCAACGATAACGCAATAAAACGTCAGCAAGATTTCAAGCGTCACGGCGTTAATGGACGCGTAAAAAAATGTTTCAGTAACGTCGACCATCGCGAGTCGAGCGCGTCCATCGACGACAGTGGCGTTTTCTCCGCCGGTTGGAAGGAGGAACAACGAGGTTCATTCGGCGGGCACGGTCCGATTCGTCTTGTTGCTCTAAATAGGCTCGCGTTTCCTCATTTGTTTGCCGGACAATTGGCTTCGCGGAAACGCGAATTGCCCTGTCCTCGCTCGGGCGCGGAGGAATTCTGAAAATTTCGATCGTAATCGGTAGACCAAAGGATCTTCCTACGAAATTCCGTTTTCGTACACGATTTTATCAAAATCGGAATTAGACCAAAATTGTCGTCTTTAATCCTCCGCTATCACGCTGGCTCAAAGTAATCGACGTTTTAATTGCGAAAGTGTGAAATTAATAGCGAACTGAACGCAGGTAGAATTCTTCGAAATTGTCCCTCGGCTTGGAAAGAAAAATGAACAATTTGAGACGAGACAATTTGATACGATTATTTTTTTATAATTGTCTACTTTTTTAAGATTTCCTTAACACGTCGAATGCCACGGAGGTCACCGTGGTCACAAATTGATAGGAATATATATATAATTTAAAATAAATGTCAATATCTAAGATTTTGTATTATTACCATCGTCGATTCAAACAGTGATCCCTGTCGCAATTAACATGTCAATCATGGTTGTACACTGTAACTTATCTATTGCAGATAATATTTCAACATTATGTGTGTCGCATAAAAGAAAATTCATCGCGGCGCCAATTGGACAATTTCTGTAAAACCGGCGTGGCATTCAACGTGTTAAATGCGTTGACAATCGGCAATTACGAGAACGAGCCGCGCGGCACAAATAATTGTATCTCCTCCTCCCAAAATGTTCATTTTCGTTTCCAAGCAATTTTGGAAAATTTACTCTACTCGAAAGTAAGTTATCCAGAGTGCTAATAAGGGAAACGATGTTCTGGAACGTTCGAATTATATTCTCAAATTCTTGGGTCTCGATAGATGACTGCCAATATTTTGGCGACAGTGGTTCGAGAATTCAATGAAATGTGACAGCGGAGGGATAACTACAAACTTCTTCGTTGCAAGAATACGATAAAAAATGCTAATACATCTTTCGAATTTACACACGTTTCCTTGAATTTTACATATTCGCGCAAGCCGTAAATTCTTGAAGATCCGCGGCTGCTAATCAACTTCGGCACGCCGAATACGTTATCGGTGAAAAATGTATTTTCGTACCGGGAGAAATCAATCCGTCACTTATTAGGGACGTCTGATCGATCCGATCCGAATCGAATGAATAAAGCAGGACGAATTGATCTCCCCGCGGAAATGTCATATATCGCTTCCTACGATTGCGTGAATCATTGAAAAAGAGACGAAACAACCGACGTATTCTTTTCTCGCGATCAACGGAAGAGCGAAGCGAACGCGTTCAAAGGATCGACCGAGCGAAGAATCGACAAGCAGGTCGCGAGATCGCGATCGCTCGATCGTTTCCCATGACCGTGGAGCGCGGGATAAGGGAAGCGAGAATAACGCGAGCGTGTCGAAGAACGGAGCGGATTGCGCGCCGCGATTTGAAGCGAGCGAGCGAGCGAGAAATCGAGCGAGCAAGAGCAAGAGCTTCCATTCGGCCCGGAATGATATACACGGCGGAGTCCCGTTCCAAAAATGCCTCCGGGGAGGAAAAGCCCGATATCAACACTTCCCGCGAAAATAATAATATTTTCTTTCGTTTGACTGTCACGGCCAGCACTTCGGCTGACCGCGGTTTCCGTAACCGGAAATAAGGGGCCGGACGGGGGAGGAGAATCGGCACAGGTCGCCGCCACGTTGGACAGCATTGATATACGCTTGCGAAAAAGTTGACTCACGCCGCGAAAATATATCTCGGCCGATAAGCTCGCGGAGGAATAACGCGTTCCGAAGCGTTGCGTGGCCGTAAACGATCGATGCGTTCCTCGCGACCAGACGAGCCACGATATTATATCAAAATACCACGGGGTATATACAGGGTGTCCCAAAAATGTCTCGCAATCCGAAAGTAGGGGATTCCTGAGGTCATTTGGAGCAACTTTTTCCTTAGCGAAAATGCAATCCGCGGCTTTGTTTACGAGTTATTAAGGAAAAACAGTGACCAATCAGAGGCGAGATCATTTGGCGCGAGACGGCCGAGCCAATGAGCGGAACTGGGCTCCGCGCACTCGTTGGCCGCCGCGCGCCAGCCGAGCTCGCCTCTTATTGGTCAGTGTTTTTCGTTAATAACTCGTAAACGAAACCTCGGAGAAAATTTTTGTACAGGAAAAAGTTGCTTCAAATGACCTCAGGAACCTCCCATTTCCGGATTGCGACACATTTTCGGGATACCCTGTATATTTCGAATGGCCCTCGCATTCATAATTACCTACACATGCTCGTCGATGTGTTCGAACGCCTCTTAAAACTGCACAAATTCTTTACAGTCGGGCTAAGCGGCCTTTACAATGGGATCTAAATTTTCGTTGAGATGTTAGAGGGATTAGTTTATCAGACAATGGCTCTAAAAAAGTGTTTCCAAAAATTTCAATCGATTGGGGTGATACGAAAAATATTCAAAACTGTCGAAGAAATGTTCCGTATGCATTATAGATCACCGAGATCTAGAAAACACATTTTTCTAAACTTTCGTTTCACATTCGGATAAAAAAGTTGTACAAATCGTTATCATTCCAACTGAACGTAATTTTTGCAAACAATTTTTTAGTCACTGTGTGGTAAACTAATGTCTTCCACATTTGGATCGCTTGGCTCAATTGCGAAGAAGTTTTTCCGTGTTAAAAGAAGTTCGATAAAAATAGTTTTCACTTTCCATTGAAATTTTCTCACTTTTTTACAAGTTTCCAAAGCGTTGCTGTTGGAACTGGAAATCTGATAACTTCGAATTGACGATGTGTACAAATCCATAAACTTATTAAAAAAAGAACCATCAGAACGAAAACGAAAGACTGCGGATTTTACAAATGATAAAGCTGTCATGTAAAACGGAAGAAGAATTTAAAAAATTAGAGAATATCGATGCTCTATTTTTTACTGGCTATAGTTATTAAAGAAGTACATTTCTAAGCGACTCTTGTTTGCAGATGTAAAAAAAATGTACATTTTCCATGAAGATCCGCAGCGTGGCGATCGACAAAATATCGACGAAATTTTGCAACGTGGACGCTAAAAAATTGTGCGAACACGCGTCGACGGAATTACCGCATTAATTTTGAACCGATCATTTTCAATTAAAGTCTGTCCTCGTTAAACCGAAAGGAAAGAATTGAAGTTCGGTCCACGAATTTCTCGGTCCGCGAACGAAGTCCTCGGTGCAACAAAGCGCATCGGACATTTACGGACGCCATTTGCGATCGCGTCTGAAACCGCGATCCCTGGAAATTGACACTGCCCGGGGCCACGACAGAGTCGGAGAACCTATGAAAATTCTGCCGAACAATTCAAACAAAGGAGGCCGTCTTTGTGCATCGCGTTCCTGATAACCGAATCGTGTGTTCATGCATGGCGAAGCAGCGCACGGTAAACAAGAGTTGCAAATAGCGGCGAGAATTGAAACATGCGGCGCGACGGCGAACGATACACCTTCCAGGGTTCGTTCGCTCTTTCATTTTTCCCGTTATCGCGTTTCTAGTTATCGAACTGTTGAAAAATCGAGTTCGAAACGCAGCGGGCGTCGCGACTTTAAACAATCGCGAGAGTTTCTCGCCTAATGGAAACTAGCACGCTTTGAAAAATAGCTGTTCGAGCTCGACTTCTACAATCCAGACAGAATATTATTAATAAAAACTATTCAACGAATCTTCCACGGCGCGTTGTACAATCATTTTTGCGATATACTGTTTTTTAGTCAAACAGTAAATCGTATTAGTAGACTGCAGATCGTTGCGCGCAACTTTTGGAGATTGATTTGCAAGGAATGGAATAACGAGGAATTTTTTATTTTGCTGTTTAAATGACTCCTTGCGATTGAAATTTTTAAAGCACATACTTATCATGCTTTTCAGACTAATTTAACTTTTAATCAGAATATTTAACCAAAAATATCTTATTCTGTTAATTCTCCTTCGTAATCGAGGAGATTTTGTATTATGGTTTTCATTGTTTGATTCTGTATCACGATTTTTAATGTATATATTTATTATATTTTTAATTCTGTATCATGATTTCTAACTTTCACTTCGTATATCAGAAAAAATGCAATCTCATTAACACTACCACACCGGTTCAAATAACTTCCGCATTTGCTTTAAAATTTAAATATATATATAATATTTATATTTGATTTAAACATATATTAATATAATAAATTTACTTCTTAATTCATACGGTAAAAAAGAGTAGCAAGATGTCAAAAGTAAATTCAGCCTCCTAATTCTGACAAAACGACACGCGTCACACATATTTCGTGCTTTTAGCGTTAGCTTTGTAAATTCGTCGATTGTTCATGTACTTAACAACCCCATTTACACTACATATTTTCGAATCGAATCACTGTCCACAATACATTCCGTAAACGAAACGCTATCTCGCCGGCTTAATTAACGAACAACATAGAAAGATTGACATTAAACAAGCATTTCCATGCTCGCGTAAAAGTTTCGAACTCCAGACCATCGCCTGGTCGCGAAGAATTATTAGCAGGTTCAAAAATCGCAGGTGTCGCGAGTCACGGCGATCCTTGGACAAGGGTGCGGGACGGTCGAATGAAAAAAAAAAAGAAAGAAAAAAGAAAATCCCCGCGGAATACCGTATAATAATCGCTGCGGGTTAGTCGGCGGCGGGACGTCGGGGCTCGGTCGGGCCCGGGAAGATTGAAAGGACACCGATGCCTTTTTCTGCGCAGGTGGGGTGATGGTGAAGCAGGAAGCGAGGGATGACGGTTACGAGACAAGTCCGGATCTCGAGATGAGGAGCACCGGTGGTGACAGCAGTCAGCAGTACCACACGCCGCTGACACCGCACACACCGCACACACCACACACGCCGCACACACCCCTCACGCCGATATCGGCGACAGCGCATCAACCCCAGCAACCTGGCTCGACCGCTTCCACCCTCGGACAGGTGAGCTTTTCCCTCTATTTTTCCTATTTCTGCCTCGAGGAAACCCCGAACGATTAGGTCACGCGGCTCTCTATTCCGGGCACAGACCGACGCGCCATGCAATTTCCTTGACGCGCGAGACGTCGCTGCGACACGGAACAACCGTCTCGTTGTCGGTCGACACTATCCTCTCTCTCTCTCTCTCTCTCTCTCTCTCTCTCTTTCTCTCTCTCTCTCTCTTTCTCCTATTTAACTCTTTCCGCTCGGAATGCGCGGCGCATTCCTTGCTGCAACCTGCAATTTTCGCCGAAAGAATCGCGAAATGCAAATACCGTAGATCCTCGTTTATGCGAACGTTCGGGGAACGAGTTCGGATAACAGAGCGGTTCGCATGCTAGAGATCCACTTTGGCCTTTTTCCATTGCCTTTTACTTTTCGTTCGGACGATAAACGTCCCTGTAATCGGTTAATCGAGGTCTCTATCTTCGGTTAATCGAGGAGTCTATTCGCATCATTTATATCGTTCGGTTCGCTGCTATACAGTAATGTCTCCCTAATTGAAGATCAGATTGTCCACAAAAATGGACAATTTGGGAAGAGGGGATACGATTGTTCGAGCGTTGCGGTTCGTTTTTATAGCTACGTATTGTCAAGATTATGTCAAGGGTCGAATAATCGTATCTCCTCTTTCTAAATTGTCCATTTTTCTGCAGAATCTGAGCGTCAGTTAGGGAGACATTACCGTGCTCCGTACAAGTTTATACACAGTGATTCGTCGCATCAAAATGGACAAATTTTTCGGACGCGATCGGACATCCTTCAGAATGGAATAACACGTTTAACCCTTTGCACTCGAGCGGTGACCCGAAGCACTACTGAAAATTGTTACATCATGTTCCAAGATAATTTTTACATTATCAAAGTCTAGATATAAAATATTATTAAAAGTCTAACTGTCGTATGAGTCGCAAGAGTCAATTTCATGCGCATAAAATGCACTTTGTGGTATAAAATGGAAATTCCATGAGTCAGAGAAATTAATTTAGATCTACAGTTAAGATGGCTTCGAGTGCAAAGGATACGCGAAGTGCCGAAAATCGTCCTGAACAGTTCCCACGGAATGATTGAATTAATGAAGCTGAAATTGCACAGTTAAAATCAATTATAACGGTTGATATTTCAACTTTTTCGTATTCCGAGGATCCTAGTAAAATTCAGTTTCTTCAAATATACAGCAATCGCTCCCAAATTCGCGCTCAGATTGCGCAAAAATATGGCCAATTTAGAAACATCGTTCCTTCCTAAAATAATAAAATAAAAAAAACCTTGCAAAGATTTTTCCCAAATTGTCCGCTCTCGTTTGCAAGCTGAAGGACAATTGGGGAGAATTTGCTGCACTCGAAGTCTTGCGGCTCGTTTTTGTATTTTTGACAATCGGTAACTATAAAAAAAAATCGAATAAGCAAAAGGAGAAGGAGATTAAATAAAAAGCAGAGTAATCGTATCTCCTTTCCCCAAATCGTCCATTTTCGCGTACAATCCGAGCGTCGATTAGGGGGAATTTCCTATAGAAATTCTCCCAAATTCGCGCTGAGATTGCGCAAAAATATGGCCAATTTAGAAACATCGTTCCTTCCTAAAATAATAAAATAAAAAAAACCTTGCAAAGATTTTTCCCAAATTGTCCGCTCTCGTTTGCAAGCTGAAGGACAATTGGGGAGAATTTGCTGCACTCGAAGTCTTGCGGCTCGTTTTTGTATTTTTGACAATCGGTAACTATAAAAAAAAATCGAATAAGCAAAAGGAGAAGGAGATTAAATAAAAAGCAGAGTAATCGTATCTCCTTTCCCCAAATCGTCCATTTTCGCGTACAATCCGAGCGTCGATTAGGGGGAATTTCCTATAGAAATTCTCCCAAATTCGCGCTGAGATTGCGCAAAAATATGGCCAATTTAGAAACATCGTTCCTTCCTAAAATAATAAAATAAAAAAAACCTTGCAAAGATTTTTCCCAAATTGTCCGCTTTCGTTTGCAAGCTGAAGGACAATTGGGGAGAATTTACTGTACTCGAAGTCTTGCGGCTCGTTTTTGTATTTTTGACAATCGGTAACTGTACAAAATAATAGAATAAGTAAAAGAAGAAGAAGTTTAAATAAAAAGCAAGAGTAATCGTATCCCCTTTCCCCAAATCGTCCATTTTCGCGTACAATCCGAGCGTCGATTAGGTAGAATTTCCCATAGAAATCCGGCAGTCGCGACGCGTCTCGTTCTCCGCGCGAAGAAACGCGAGTCGAAACAGCGGCCGACCGTATCGTGCAATTACAATACAAGATCAGGAACGTGCGCCGATATTTTTGCCGCGAGGAAAAGATCGAGTCGGTGGAAGTTCCGGCTGCGGTCGGAATCAATCTCGCAGCGTGGCCGATCGTCGGCGGTAATCGGCGACATCACGAGGGACAAATATCGGCGGCTAAAGCCCGTGGAATTATTTGTCGGTTAAGACCGATGATCGTTACGGTCGGATCCGGTGATTCCCGATCGGAATAACGAGCGATAAATTGCGCGATAAAAGTGCGCTCGCTCGTTCGCTCGCGCGAGCACAAGCGATCAGCGCCGAGCCGATCGGAGCGCACTTTCGTAACGCGGCGCGGTGCGGTCGATTTGCATTTGGTCGCGCTTATGCAACGCCGTTTCCCGCGGGCCGATAATGACATAAGAAAACGAGACGCGTGCAGGATCTGGATCCGCAGGACGACGGAGAAGAGACCCGTCGAGGCCGCGACGACGGCGGCCGCGGCCGCGACCGCGGCGATCGGGACGAAACGCGAACGTCCGGGACGGTTCTCGAAAATTCGATGACGTCGCTTTAGAACGCCGACGTACGGCGTCGTTCGTCGCGGTGAACCTCAAGGTGAACCGGTACGCGTTGCTAGTAATCGGCCGAGGGTAAAAATACACACTTTTAAGCAGCGCGGCGCGGAGCGGCGCGGCGCGTTTCCTCGCGTCGTCGCTCGGAAGGATTCGTCGCTCGATTCCGCGGCGCGATGTATCCGTGACTCTTAGCAGATAACGAGAAATCGATGCGTTCTCCGTGACGATTCCCTCGGCCAACCGTCGACACGTCTCGGATTTATCGTCGACGCCCGAGATCGAGAGCCGACCTTTCGCTCGTTGCCACGCGAACAGCTTTTACTTTGTTCCCTCTTCGCCTCGCGCCGATCTTTCTCCTTTGACCGGCCACGCGGTTCCCGCTTCCCTCGCGTTTATCGGTATGAATCGGTTTCATAGATCACCGATCGTGTTCTACGATTTTTTCTTTTTTCTTTTTTTTTTGAACGTTCAATGCCGAAACGCAAGAAAAGTACGCAAACTCGGAACAATTCAGTTCGTGATGTCGGAATAAAGATCGCGTTTTTTACAGCAATTAGGGTGAGTTCGCCTATTTCCGGACACTTAAGATTTTCTCTAAATAAATAAGAGAAAGATAATGTTTCACTTATATTCTATTTTGCATTAACTTTTTTTGTATTTTTCAAATTAAAATAAACAAAATAAGCAAGATTTTCACAATGTTAACTAAAGTTAACCTTAAACTTTGATTTTAAATTCTTAAGGACTGGATTCTTGGCCACTGCCAAACCAGGTGGCAGCCATTTTGAAATCATTTTTCACAGTTAACCGATAGGTTTGCTCTTGCTAATAAAACAACAACTTTGGAAAATGCTAAATTATATTTTCCTCATAACAATGTTAGAAACAAACCACCCTATATAAGAGGACACGACGCGTTGCGTTATTAACGCCGCTGACGATTCATTTTTTTTTTTTTATCAAACTTGCAGCTCAATCTTTATCAGCTTATTAACACGTCCGCCGAGTTTCAAGTTTGATAAAAGAAAATTGTGCCACTCGTATATCATTCGACGTGACAGTCGAAAGTATTAATATAGTTCGGCGTTTCTGCTTCTACACGGTCTATCGTGACTGGAACATTTGTTTTTAGAGAGAGTCTTTTGTAAACACATTTCTAAAAATAGTTCCTCAAAACATCGTTATCTTCCCAATGCACGCGAAGAAACTGCCCGGAATTTGAGTAGCCGAGTAGTCGCGTTACTTCAGATTCGAATAGCCTTGCTGTGGTAACCGATTTTTTATTCAGATCTTAACAAATGTAATGTACAGTTGGGTGTCCTGTGAGGAACTAATTTGTTCTAGGATCTCGTTCGTTATAGTATAGATTGACCGATATTGATATAGATATTGCCAAATATTATTGCAAAATGTACAGCACAGTTATTAATGAATATAACGATTTTACACAGAATAAGATAAATTTAGTGTGAAACAAAAAAATATGAGAACATATATATAATATATTAAATAATATTATATTATATTTAAATTATATTTAAATTATATTAAATATTATTATTATATAATATTATATTATTATTATTATATTATATAATATTATATTATTATTATTATATTATATTATATTATATTAT